AGTAAAAATCATTTCATTTTACTGAGTTTTTAAAAATATTAAGATCATCTTCAACTTAATTTGATAGCATATATTAAGCAACAGAATCTGCCCTGGGAACAGGACTATTTTACTTGTATGATAGGGCAGTGAGTTTTTCTTCTGTGGATCCCAAACATGCAGAAAGGAGGTTATAATCCAAAAGAGAATTGATGGCATCAAAACTGACATGTTTGGTATGTGAACTCTAACCAGAAATAGTGGTTTCTCTGATGGAGGTGGGCTGTGATGGCTTCCTGAGGTCTGTGTAAGATGCCATTCAGCTCTGAGTGTGGGGTGGCAACTGAATAGGTCCCACATTCACTATAGGGTAAGCCATGTTTTCTCCTGAGCCCTGTGGGCAGGGTGGAGCCCAGGTGCTTAGTAGGAGTGGTGAGCCAAACCCCAAGTGTGAGTCAGGTGCCTGATCCACCCAAGATGGGGATAGATGATATAGGTGGGGCCTTTGGCAAGTTTCATGTTCTGGCTTTGTCCTTTCTTTGGATTTAGACTTGTAAGAAAGCATGTTCCAAGCAAGGCTGTACTGCACGGAATCCTTCTCTCTGCCCTTTATGGTTAGCAAAGCCACATCATCATTTTTCTCTTCCCAGTGCTTCTAAGTTCTAGATTGCTTTATGAGAGTGGAAATATAAGATTAGGGATAGGACCAGCTACATAGTTTTTGGGGCACAGTACAAAATGAAAATGCAGGTACAAATTATCAAGGATTTCAAGATGGTGAACAGAATGAAACCAAACTTGAGGCCTTCAATGTATAGGGCCCAGTCCAACTACACAGAGTGCATGTTCATGAAACCACCTTGGCAGGGGAGGAGTGGATCAGGGAGTGGGATGGAAGACAGGGTGGAGAGCAAGGAGGAAACTCACTGAGTCACCTCATGCCAGATTGCCTCAAACCAAAGCCAAATTGACAAGAATTATTCTCTGTATACAATGAAAGCAAAAGGTGGTGCAACAGGTACTGCATCTAGGTAGGTGTTCAGTCTCAAGCTTTTGCACCAAGAGACTGTGGAAAGCAAGAGCGAAGGAGACACAGAGGCCAAAATAGAGGAGGTGATCCACTGCGGCTCACGTTGCCTGTTTTGCAAAATGGAAACTAAGTCTGACTCTCTAACTTCTGTATGGGTTCCTTTTCCAATCCTTGGGAAAGTTGAATAGTATGAAATTATTCCCTTTCATTGTGAGTTAAATTGGAACTTAGGTATAAGAATGAGATTCATAAAAGGAAATGAGAGAAATGATAATTGAACGAAGAAAACAAAACAGTTAAGAAAGCCAAAGCAGTTTGAGTCCTGTCTGATACGCAACATACAGCAACACAGACAAATATCTCTGCAGCAAAACAAATTGGGAAAGGAGTGGATATTTTCAAATAAAATATGCACATTTCCAAGCAGCCTTCGGCTCATCTGATAAGGGACAGATTGTCCACAGTAAATAAAGAGAAGAGAAAAGATGCTTTGTGCTGAATTTAGTCCCCTATTGTATCAGTAGGGGCCTTGTTTCTCCTTCTCTAACATGTCACCTCTTTAGCTGCAAGGCATGGCCCCACCTTAAAAGAGGGCAGACAGCCAAGTATCAGAAGAGACACCAACCACAACAGAGTGCAATTCTAGTGATGTATGCTGTGTGCTATTGGAACTTAAGGAGAAATTCATACTGCTTAAATTTCTCAGCTGATAACCTGCCTACATATTCTGTTAGTTTCACCAACTGCTGCCAGTATCTATTGATTACCACTGGGCTCTTCTTTCCCAGAAGACTCCCGGAGAGAGGGATGTTGCTTGGGAGGCAGGATGTGGGACTTTTGTAGATAGCACCTATTTGGGCTTGGTGATACAAGTCAACATACCAATTCTTCTCTGCATGATCCACTCAGGGAAGACCTGGGATTGAGTTGGTCAGGTTCTTACCTGGCCAGGAACCACCACTGGCATTTCATTCTACCCATCTGCTTCTCCAGGTGGAAGGTAAGAGAATAGCCCTGTTGAGGCTATCTGTGTGACCATCCACAAGCCGTTCTGTCCCCCTCTGGAAAATGGCAGCAAGTCTAATAAAACCAGATAAGTAATAATAACCCAGATAAGTAACACACTACATCCCTTTTCACTGGCACTAGCATTGAAGGAGAGGAAGAAAGAGAAAAACTTTAAAAGGCTGTCATAGAAGAGAGAAAGGGGTAAAACATCAGAGAGAAATCATCTCTAAATGGATATCTAATAAAAAATATTTTGTGTTTCTCTTCTCTTGGTTGTTAAGCATGTCATACACAGGCTTTTTGTCTGTCTGTATGTCGTCTTTTGTCTACATACAGCCTTTGATGGGACTGGGAAGAGTAGACATGAAGTGAATTCCCATATATACTCAGTCACATGTTCTGTGATAATAGTGCCTCTTATTCATGCCAGTGCTGAGAATTTCAAAGCTCTCCCACCTCTGTCATCTCATTATCCTTCGCCAACAGCCCAGGCAGGTAGATGGGATTTGGATTATAATTCTCCTGGTGCAGAAGAGGCAACTGAGACTTGGGGGTGACTGAGTTGCTCACTCTGATCCCAGTGAGTGGCAGAGCCACTCATGGGTTTTCTTTCTATGATTTGTGTTCACCCTGGATGTACTGTTTCCTGCTCCAGTTACAGTAGGCTGGATTGTGATCAGAGCTAAGGATAACCCTGGAGAAGGGTTCAGTAGCCCCAAGAAACCTGGAAATTTGATGGCTGCCATGTGAACAAGGGGCATCTTTTCAAAACTTTTGCCTTTTAATATAATGTGCTTCAAACCACAGGGCTTCGGTTCATTCTTCTCTTAAGAGACCAGGCTACAGTCCAGCCCCTCTCTGTTCTACTGCTCCTTTTTTGCCCCCCACCCTGAGCCATCAAAAAGACACTTAGAGCTGAGTGGGAATAGTATTTGTCCCACAATTACTCCTAATTGCCCTGTAGTTTTGTGGTGTCTGAGTGGTGTGACCTAGATACCAGTTTTGTGAAACACTCTTTCCAGCCCAGGGTCTGTATTAGGGAGTGAGGGCATCAAGCAGTGAAATCATGCGACAGTGGCTTAGTCCAGCTCAGAGATAACCCTTATCTCTCCCTTTACCATCTGTTGTGCCCTGGTTCTCCTTAGCAGCCCAGATCCAACACCGCCTTTCCTTCTGTAAAGCCTCTGTGGACTTACTTCCTCCTCTGGATTCCCACAGTGCAGGTTCTGATTATGTCTATGTCCACCTTCATTTTCCACATGGTGTGATATGAATTCACTCACATATTTCATCTTCCTAAACTATGTATGCCAGGGCTGTGTGGCATTCATTTTTCTATCTCTGTCTACCTGGACAACTGAGGATGGCCAAGGCAGTTGTTCAGTTAACTGCCTGTGGAATGAGAGCCATAGGAAAAAATCGAGCACTTATCCACCTGTACCTTATTTTCTGTATAATCTCTCTATGACCTCCGTTTGCCTGGAACTTTGTACATCATTTTTTTAGTGGGGAAAGCGTGGATGTACATCAGTTGTTTTTCCTTCTAAATTGAATCCAACCAAACTAGTTCCTCAGTGCACGCCAGTTTCTCTGGCCACCAAATAAATATAAATATAAATATAAATATAAATATAAATATAAATATAAATATAAATAGTTAGAGTCTGATGAATGGATTTATAGGATTTAGAATGGAAACCTGAATTTTAATCATATGTATTTAAAATTTTTTTTCTTCTAGCAATTCACCTGCTCATGCAGTTCATATTTCATTTCATTCTGACTCTTTACATAGAATACACTAATTTGGATGTCAAAATGTATTCATTGGCCGGCGCCTCGGCTCACTAGGCTAATCTTCCGCCTTGCAGCGCCAGCACACCGGGTTCTAGTCCCGGTCGGGGCACCGGATTCTGTCCCGGTTGCCCCTCTTCCAGGCCAGCTCTCTGCTGTGGCCAGGGAGTGCAGTGGAGGATGGCCCAAGTGCTTGGGCCCTGCACCCCATGGGAGACCAGGAGAAGCACCTGGCTCCTGCCATCGGATCAGTGCGGTGCGCCGGCCGCAGCGCGCTGGCCGTGGCGGCCATTGGAGGGTGAACCAACGGCAAAAGGAAGACCTTTCTCTCTGTCTCTCTCTCTCACTGTTCACTCTGCCTGTCAAAAAAAAAAAAAATGTATTCATTAAGATTGTTTCATTTTTAGCCCAATTGCTGTGTTGGATTTTTTTTTCTAGGTTGGTTATTGTATGTGGCCTTTCAAGTTTTATCTACATCTTTGAAAGAGAAATTATGTTTCCAATTTACAGATATCCAAAATAAAGAAATAAATAACTCACAGAACACAACAAAAACAAACAAAAGCTCAAAAAGGCAGAATTTTAACTTGCCATTAAGTGATAACTAGCCAGTAAGTGATAGATCAAGATTCATTAGAGATATTAATTGATCACTATCCATTCAATATGAATTAATTATCACTACAGTCAGAGAATTGTTTGAGAATGAGTAGGTGAAGATGTGGTCCTTACCCTGAAGGGTCTCACAGTCTAATGAGAGGAAAACCGCATAGAAAACAATGTCCTGTACTTTAATAGGAACACTGACCAGATAGCCTGTGTCTGTGTGTTCTTGTTCTCACTGGAGCATCCTACTCTACATGTCTCCTGTATTTCTGATGCAAAAGTGGTGGTGATGCTTACAAACACTAATATCCAAGAAGTCACATCATCATAGAAAGCATTAATAGCAGGAATGTAGGCTTCAGTCTTCAGCTTTCTTATAGCTATTTGTAAGCATACAGATGCCATGGGAGAATGGGCAGAAGGCCATTCCTGCTCTCTCCAGTCAGTTTTCATCAAAGAGGAAGTTGGCAGAGGAATCCAGAGCTTCTTGCAAGGGAGGACAGCAGGGAGAGTTATGTCATTGCAGAATGGGAGAGGCCCCACCCACCAAACCAATTCCCTGTCTCTGACAGGTTGTGTTCCACCCTGTAAACATCCTCAGTCCTCCCCTCTGACCAGAGCGCAGAAGCCTCAGCCCACCTGGTGAGGAGAGATTCAGACTGAGTGGGGTGACAGCACAAGGGCACTCTCCTGCCAGCCTCATTGGAGCCAGCCACACCTCCGCTGTAGTCTGGCACTTGTTGCCAAGGAAGAGAAACAAGAACCTAGGGTGCCACAGGTCTAGTGAGGTAAGACCAGCAGGCTTGTCACTGGTTCTGCAAAGAGCTGGGGTGTCTCTACGGGCTGATTGCTCCTGTTTTCTAGGCTGAATTTCTGATTGCTTCCACCTCTGACTTGCAGTTGATGTAGGCTCATCGTCTTACATCACCATGTAAGATTCTTCCTAACTGCCCCGGGTTGATGAGGTTTGTAGAGCGGTATTTTTCTGCCTATAACGTCATTAGACATGCTCACATATGTACTGATTTTGATCTTAACTGCCCTGTAAGTATGGTAGGATAGGTATAATTTTCACCATTCAGTCCCCTAGTGAATGGCGCATACTCAATGGAAGTGATTTGTTCAAGTTGGTCAGCAGACTAAGGCCAAGATTAGATTAGATCCCTCCTTTTTCTTCCTCTGCTGTCCCACAAGGCAGGTCATACCATAATCCGAAACACAGACATTAAGAAAGGCCCTCCTAAATTGCCAGATGGACAACACAAGGTGATTATTCCTGTTAGAAGAGATATTTTTTTAATTCATCTGAGAGACAGTCTGTAATGACACATAGGGTCTATCAAATAGTGCTGTTTTTGGAAAACAAATGAGAATCTGTGTATAAAGAGGCCTTGGAGTGACATGCAAATGTGAGGGAGAAGACCCTGTGGAATCTGAAACTTGCTTTGGATCTTTGAATGAGAAAGTTTTAACTTGGGGCTGAATGCCATTCTCCCATTGTCAACAGCAGCATTATGAGGTACACAGCACAAAGGCCCTGGGGGACTAGTCTAGCTTTTCAGTCTAAGGGGGGGGGCACCCCTAAATCCTTCCAAATTGAATCCTGCAATTTCTTCTCTTACATCAGCTATCATCTTACCTTATTGTTCTATGTGTTCAAGAAAATCTCATGTTCAGTGATTATGTAGTTTATTTTTTAAAATGCTAATTTTAGCTATTATTGTCCCTTTCATGCTTAAAAGGTTATGCAATTCTTAGTTGTAGAAGGAAATATTTCCTCTGTTTTGTGGTGTGTGTGTGTGTGTGTGTGTGTGTGAGAGAGAGAGAGAGAGAGAGAGATAGAATAAGAAAAAGTGAACATTATGACAGCACCAATTTATTCCATGTGGACTCACAACAGTGCAGTGGGGTGCAATGATATCTAACCATTGGCAATCTTGTGTATATTCTTAGTGTCTTTATGGCTGTATGAGTCCTGGAAAAAAATCACTTAATTCATTACCTTTTCCCAAATAGAGAAGCAGTGTCCCAGAAAGATGAATTGGTGTGTAAGGTCACATAACCAGGCATCATTGGAGTTGGGAGTCCAATGCAGATCACTTATGTGTTGTGTAATGAATGGTACCAGGTATCCCAAAATGATAGCATTAGCTGTGTCATTTTGTGCACTGTACCCAGATGTCCTTTAAGATTTCCTCCAATTAAATATTTCAGAGCACTTTGACCTTTCCTTAGCATTCGGTGGAAATGTCATCCTCCCCCACAGAGCAGAGGAATTTGCTAAAGAAACTTCTGTGCTTATTGGCTTGGTCCTTATGGAATATTTGTTTCAGTCAGATTTTAGGAGTGCTGCTTCAGTGTTGGATGGAGCAATGGGCAACATGTGCTTGAGCCCTCACTTTCTTCATCCATTCTGAATTTTGCAACTTTTAGGATCCTCCTGAAAAGGTGTCACTCAAGTCAGCATTTGTAATGCATGTTGATTTTTTCATTCAACATTGTAGAATCTAATGGCTGAGCCTTAGATTTCATTTAATCCAGAGATGCAGATCAGTAATCCACAGGTGCATCCAGCATGCAAATGTAATTCTTAAATTGCTACAGTGTTAAACTTGTTACAAGTAATACCCAGTAAATTTCTTGTAAAAAATCTAAATATCTTGTTTTTCAGGAAGATCAGGATATCTGGTAATAATGGATCCACATTCCCACATGGATAACACAGTGGGTGGGTCTGGGTAGCATCTGCTTCCTGTGGGTGGAACAAGTATTCTCCAATCCTCCACAGCCCCCATCTTGTACCTGAGTTAGGCTACCAGGTACTTAAGTTTGTCAATACTGATCTCTTATAAACTCTGAGGTGTTAGGGTTCCTTGAAATCCTTCTTTTTGCAGGGAAACCTAGTTCTACATAACTAGGCCATGCCACAGAACAATGTCATCAGGGAGGAGGTAAAGTTAATTCCTTGGACCAGACTTCTCAATGCATGAGTGGTAAAAGGAGATATGATGATTTCAACAGAACTTTCCATTTGCCCTGACACCTACCAACAATATTTTCTGAGCTAGATATCAAGACTCCGTGACTTAAAAGCTAAAGTATTAAGCAAACTGACACAGCTCCAACATAATCTCTGGGTGCCTACAAGAGAATAGGAAGGAAAATTGACACTTGCCTTTTACTCAAGCGATCAAAGACAAAAGAAATTAAAATAAATGAAAGCACATGGATGGCAACACAGTGCTCTGTCTTTCCAAATAATATAGGACAACTTGCTAAAATCCTAGAAACTAATTCAGTTATAAATTTTCTATTATTCATTCAATAATATAATAATCAGTTCTTGATCATTTACAGTGTTTGTGGACTGAAGCTCGGAAATCTAGGGAAGAAGAGTAGTGAACCTTCCCCAGTGGAGCTTACCATCCAGTTTTTGAAAGTGTGTACCCCAATAACTAATTCAGGACATAATATAATAAATGCTATTGTTTTCCCGAACAAAAAGATATTTACAGCAACTATGATGATGAAGAGAAAATGGCATTTGACCTGGACTTTGGAAAGTTAGAGACAAGAAGAGTTTTCAGCGAGAGAGAAGTTCACTCAAAGCCACAAGTCAGGGCTGCCTGCAGTGTCCTTGGGGATTGGACAACATTCGCTGTGGTTGCATTTGGGTACAGTGGGACTGAAGTGGAGTAAGACTGGAAGCCTGGGTCTGTATACAATTCTGGATACTGTGTTGACTAAGGGTTTCAGATTAGTGAATCTGGTGAGGCTTGCAGCTATTGACCAAGTGTTAGCCCAAGCTTATGGCTATCTAAGTCTATAATTGGCAGAGGCAGAACATCTGTATAGGTGTACCTTCCAACTGCTTTAACTCTTTCAGGAGAATTAGCAGGGAAACAAACAAACAAAGAAAAGGAGTATACAGCACTTCTAAATATAGTGGACAACATCAGATTCTAAGTGAGGGAGGCTAGGAGGAATTATACAGTGGAATTAAAAAGATGGGTAAAATATTTTTAAAGATATTAAGCAATTTGCAAGAAATATTTCTAAACATATGATAAAGATTTTCTCTCTCTTCTTCTGCCCTCTCTTGTCTATTTCTGTGAGTTATCTGAAAGTTAGAAAAGTGATGTTGCATAAATTCTTCTGAACTTCTGGTGTATGGAGCGTTGTTTATTTGATCAAGTTCATGCTTTTGTCTGGGAAGCAATTACTCCCTAAGAAATAATTGTAGAAGTTCCTTGGATGTACCTGTCCTGAACTCTTCCATAATGAACATTACTGGAAAATAGCATAAATATGTGTGTGCTCCACTGAGGTTCACAGCATTCCTAGTCAGTTGGAAGGAAGGTTCTCATCCTGAAAAGGCTCTCTTGGTCAGCAGAGAAGGGTTTGCAATACCCTGAAGCCCAAGGTATTTGGAAAATAACCAATTTGTCTTTTTTAAAAAATAAGATTCATTTATTTATTTGAAAGTCAGAATTACAGAGAGAGAGGGAGAGCTGGAGAGAGACAGAAAGAGAGATCTCTTATCTGCTGGTTCACTCCCTAAATGGCCGCAATGGCCAGGGCAGGCCACAAGCTTCTTCCTGGTCTCCCATGTGGGTGCAGGAGCCCAGGCACTTGAGCCATCTTGCATTACTTTCCAAGGCTCATTAACAGGGAGCTGGTTCATAAGTAGAACAGCCAGGACTCGAAGTGGCACCCATATGGGATGGCAGAGCGCAGATGGAACTTTACCTGCTATGCCACAGCATCAGCCCCCAAAATAATCATGTTTTTTCTCATTTTTATAGCATAGTTGTTTGTGGGACTGCTTTAGAATTATACCTGTCTTCAAAGGTCTGTGCTTCATGGGAAGTAGGTAGGTGATCTGATGTAGAGTAAGATGAAATATTTGATAAAATTTATCCATTAAAAACCATTTATTGAGCATCTGTTCAAACATCTATTCATGGTTCATTCATTAGGTATAGTTTATCACATATCTGTTCTATATTTTGTAAAGAAAATTTTTTAAAAATTTTTTAATTTTTTATTTTTTTTGACAGGCAGAGGGGACAGTGAGAAAGAGAGACAGAGAGAAAGGTCTTCCTTTGCCGTTGGGTCACCCTCCAATGGCCATTGTGGCCGGTGCCCTGCGGCCTGTGCACCTAAATGGCCGCAATGGCCAGGGCGGGCCACAAGCTTCTTCCTGGTCTCCCTTGTGGGTGCAGGGGCCCAGGCACTTGAGCCATCTTACGTTACTTTCCAAGGCTCATTAACAGGGAGCTGGTTCAGAAGTAGAACAGCCAGGACTCGAAGTCTGATCCGATGGCAGGAGCCAGGTGCTTCTCCTGGTCTCCCATGGGGTGCAGGGCCCAAGCACTTGGGCCATCCTCCACTGCACTCCCGGGCCACAGCAGAGAGCTGGCCTGGAAGAGGGGCACCTGGGACAGAATCTGGCGCCCCGACTGGGACTAGAACCCGGTGTGCCGGCAGCGCAAGGCGGAAGAATAGCCTAGTGAGCTGCAGTGCCAGCCTAGAAAATTTTTTAAAGATTTATTTTATATATTTGAAAGATGGAGTTACAGAGAGAGAGAGAGAGAGGGAGAGACACACAGAGAGAGGTCTTGATCTCCTGGTTCTGTCTCCAAATGGCCACAGTGGCCAGGGCTCAGCCAGGCTGAAGCCAGAAGCCAGGAACTTATTCCAGGTCTCCTGCGTGGGTGCAGGAGCACAAGCACTTGGGCTATCCTCTGTTGCCTTCCCAGGTGCATTAGCAGAGAGCTGGATGAGA